TCTAATACTGCAAAATGCCATTCGCGATAAACGATACACTGCGGGATTTGTATGAGGTTCGCCGTGCTTGTTAACTGGCTTACACCAGCATTGACTGAAGGCTAACTTTACGCTTCGAGCTCAAACAGCCACTGCGGATCGCATAAACGACAAGCGAAAAGCCTCGGAAACTATCTCTAAAAAAAATTCGTGAAATGGGAACGGAATGCCCGTAGAAAGAGATCATTTCATAAAATAACAATCTAATTGATGTAAAACAAGTTTTATGCTGTTTTCAGCAAAAACTTTCAATGTAAGACCAAAATATTCTATCAATACTGAAAATCCTTAAACAGAAAATGATCAAAAGTCATCTAAATGAGAGCAATGTGCCAATAACGGCTTCACCTGACACTTTAGCAAAGAGCGCAAAACAGGAGTTTAAGTTCGTGATTAATGAAGTATACAGATTGTCCAACATCAGATTCACTCTAGTGTTAAAGAACCCCATGATTACACTCTCCATTTTTCATTCCTGTTCATTATTCGCATAACAGGCTCAAAGAAATATGAGCCATACAAGCCATTAAATACGAGCCATCAAACAGATTATGAACGAAAATCGTGGCTACATGACAAAATTAAGGATACACGCATATAACCGGGCCCCAGATTCAAAGGACAAATTCGGCAAAGGCGATGCCGTAACATTATTTTTGGCAGAATCAACGCGTTATACTATCTCATAAGATTTTCCTCCAGACAACGAGAAAAAGCTTTATGTCATCTTGCAAAATCTATTTGTCTGCTGCGTTTTTTTTACATATTCTCATTAGCAGAATTCGTAAAATGTCAACAAAGCATTAATTCAGGTGTTCATTCAGAAACACTGAAAATTTACATCGTAGAAGCTTACTTTTTAGGGCACAGTTTGAACTTCTCTAAGCACTGATATGTCATGCGAAAGACGTACGCATTCTGCACATCCACTGATGAAGTAGTATCTTCCATCGTTAGACGTAACACGGACAACTCGTAAGCAGCCTAAAGCAAAGGATTTCGGATTCAATTGTAACAGTGAAAACCAATGATTAGTCATTTGTTTATGCATGCATCCGGTTTCTGACCACATCAAATGAAATGATGAAGTAATGAAGAGCCTTTAACTGATAATTTCACATCATGTCTGCGATCTTCTGCACGCATGCACAGCAATGATACCGCGAAGTTACATTGAAACTGCATGAGAAAATAAAACAATTTAACTTGATTCTCCTGTAGTCAATTCAGTCCATAAAAGTAGCACACCATGATTGAATAAAAATCAGAGCGGATGCGATAAACTAATGGCAATCCAGCGAAAAAAACTGCCACGATGAATGCAAGACTATTCAATTAACAAACAAACGCAATGACTTTCATTCACACTGTTGACGAACAGTGAAAAGTTATTATCGGCAGCAAATGATTCCATCGATGGAGGCAATGAAACCATTCTTTCATAAGTGAACATTTTAACAGCGCTGATACTGTTTATTATCAAGGTAATAATGAACGAGCCTAGAAGAAAGGAGGTATTTAGCATCATAAGCTTAATATTAGAGATACTCAGCATCATAAGCTTAATATGATTACAACAGTGGTCTGCTACATGTGCGCACACAAAATGGAAGTTACTTAACTTTCCTACACCGTTATTAGGATATTGTGAAATTCATAACCCCAAATTAAGCCGGATTTTTCAAACTTGTTGAAGTAGGAAAAGAACTTTGGTAATGCCTACACCTCCACACTGGGTGCTAGGTATAGCAACGTTCCCTCACTGAACTTCTAGGGCGGTGATGATCTAAGTTCCAGAACCAATAAGCCAGGAGCGATATGAAGGAAATTATAGTGTGGAAAGCATAACAAGTACTTTCCGCTTGTCAGTGTTAGAACAATGATAGGGATTCACTGTGAGAAATAACTTGCACTCACAATCTTTCGACTACAAGTATGAGACACTGCCGATTAAGCCACCCTGATCAAACTGAAATAGAAAAGCAACGATAAGCCATGCAGTTCAACTAACTTATTGACTCAGTTCCTGGAGAACAGCCATAATACGAAAAATATTGTAGATGCAGAAAACGAGGAGTTTCAATTTAGGCCAATGCTGATGATGATGATACGACAGTCTAAACACGCAGGAAGTCATGAAACTGAAAATCACTTATGCAAACAGTATGGACGGTATATGCTGTAATGCTCCTCTAGCCTTAAGAAATCCAACGAAGATTCAGGAAAACATAAATCGAAGTAAATTCTCATCTAAGGACACAAAACGCGATCCTACACGTGATGTACGCATGGCTGCTCAATATTGTAAAGACTCTGACTTAGGAGGCTAAGAACAGTTATACATGTCGATGATTCAATGCACTGCAACCCGGAAATGGTCAGTCCCAGTGAAGTCAGAATCGTTCATTTTCTAAGTCTGTTATTCATTTCCGGTAGCAGCTATAGGTAGTTTTTCATGTGGTATCCAGTTTGATGTTGATTATGCAACTCCAATGAGAGGATTTCGACGGATGAAATTGCTCGACATTGCTCAACACAACCCAGCCGTTTGGTCCGTGGTCTGCTTCTTCGTCGTCTTCTACGTAGCACTCCCAAAGGACGTCTGTCTCTCTGCAGTATCATAACGTTGCAAAAACTGTAAGCACCTTGTAAATGAAATAAAATGTTTGTCAAACAAAGCGAGATTTAGTTTTATAGAGTCCTATTCAGGTTACATTATAAGCGCCCATGTACGAGCAGATTCTTTGAGCAAACTTCAAAGAAACTACCACCGACAGCCTACACACATTTGCTGTAGTTCTCCCTCGAAACGTACCTGATCAGACAGAAATGCAGTCGTAGAGTCAAAAATTAAGTCCAGCAACGCCGTTTGTAACTTAAGTTTCATTTCATCACTTGGAACCAACCTGCAAAATAAAAGCTTAAAGAATACATCACAAACACCTATATTACGCAGGGATACCTGATCAGCTCTGATAACATGTAGAAGGTGGACATAATTGCGTGCTTCATGGAATAAAAAATCGCTTCATCGCTCTTCACTAAAACAAGATTAAACTTCAAAACAACCAAACGCATAATCGGCATTGGTATTTGGCTAATCCACGAGTTCCTTTTCGCTACCTTACTTCAAAGGAAAAAATTGGTCATGACGTTGATATTAAAACCGTAGTGAAAGGCTAACTATTTGGCAAAAGCTACTAGAAAAACCAAGAAAAGAAAATCTACAATGATGATTACTGTTGAAGTGTCCTCGTATCATAAGATAAAAGGTTGGTATGGATTCTCGCTTTGTAAAATTCATCGCGGAGGTACTTTTCTGGCATAGTCAGGCAATTTAACAATTGTGATTGAGTCAAATAAAAGTTAATACTCTGCACCAACAAAATCATTCAAACACATCTAACTCGCTAGCATCCTTTATGAATCCATGTTCAGACGGTGGTCGGGTGCGTATATATGCAACTTCACCTACCGACAGCTGTTTTGCTAGAGTACGGTGCAAGCAGTTTCGGACTTCTAGATCCCTTTTAGGACATGTCGTTCACCATATCTTCCGTCTCTGGTGGTCATGTAACCATCAGAAGTGACATATAAGACATGAAAAGTGACATACAAGACAGAAGAAATCTACTTGTTACTGCTCATCTTCCTGTAAATCTGAATCTTGATACCATCATCAAAGGCTTGAGGCAAAGAAGACTGCATTTCAGTGGTTTCAATCCCTAATTTTCAAACCATACCCATCTTGGCAGCTTCCATTGTCATTAACGCCATATTTTAATATTTACTCAGCTTTGCGTCACTTACTGCACTGCTACTCAATCACATGAATAGCAAAGGTTTAGCAGAGAACGGTTGAAGTTTGGGTTTCAGCTAAAAACTCGTCACACACTGGCTAACAAGAGAGAAACATGCAATGAATGCATGAGTTTCCAGGAAAAAAGTATCACCAAGAATATGATTAATCAGCAATATTTAAGAAAATAAAACCTAATGATATCGTCGTTCGAAAGATTTTGAACTTGCAATTCCACTGGTCTATTCTACTCTGTATTTATGCAGACAATGAATCAGTATGATAAGTTGAAACGTGTTGAAAATAAATCAAACTCATCCTGAATTCACTTTCTCTGAACTATGAATCTTAACGATATACTGCCATGTAAAGACCCATCTACACAGAGAGGGAATCGACAGGTTCTTTTACAACTACAAAGGTACATACTTGCTTATCCTAGAAGCAGCACATTTCACATAACAACACTCCACGTGACTTTCCTTATATTTCAAAAAGCGTTGCTTTATGCCATTCATTGTAGTGTTCCATTTTATAGCTGGAAGGAGAAAAGGGGTATGAATAATCCACTGGTGAACAACGAGAAAATGCAAAACGCAACGTTAAAAATCTTGTAAAGAGCACAAGTACCTCACTGGGTTTCGCTTTTCTAACTTTGTCACTTTCGTGCCTTCCGAAACAAAAAATGCAGGCATGTAATCAGTGTTAGAATTATGCTTATATCAGATCAACTTGTTTCTTCGTCTGATAAACAGTCGTGGTCAAAATCAACGAGTAAGTCCAATCTGCGGTATGTGGACAATAAAATAACATCATAACGGAGAAATCTTGGAGAGTTAAGAAAGTGCGAAAATAAAACATTTTCAGACATAAAGTGCACACTGCATAGAACCGAGTCGTTTAGAAGCACTGGTCAACAAGCGCATAAGTGTAGCCATGAGCAAAAAACATCAAACAGGTATGTACAGTCACCATTCTACCAGAATAAATGCGCCTACGTTCGAAACAAAATCCAAAAGTTATACTCAAGATCAACTGACAATATCAGCTCGGTAAGCTAATGATAAAAACTGCTATTTGGCAGGCTGCTATATACATACTACGCTTTTTTACTCAGGTATGACATAATGTAAACGTACAGTCCCGTCCGCTGAGTCAGTAGCGATTGCCCATATTTCGCAGCAAGAACGAAAAATAAAGATCAAGCAATGAGCACAACACCATTATCAGAACAAGATGTGGATGATTTCTTGTAATTCGATGAACTTTTCGGTAACTTACTCACTAAACACGTCAAATGCGCGGTAACTACTTCACTCAAATAGCCTTCCGCCGGTATGCCGTCCTTAGAGCTGTCACTCTTCTAAACACTATAATATCAACGGACCACAGTCAACAATGCCTCAATCTTACTTACCCAAGAGGATGCGACGGGAAACACGGCGTTTAAATCAAACAGGTTTACGCCAAGGATAGCACTACGTAGCGACAGCGGTATATGTGGCCATGCGGTTTCATGCAACAAGCGGACGTTGCTAGCAACTGAAGAAACCATCGACAACATGGCCAACAGGAGATTTGTCGTCGACGCGTCTGCATCCATGGCAGGGCAACTGTGCACAATCAATAGTTTTCTAGTATCGAAGAAACGTTAAAAACAAAGTTTGAAACGAAAGAGAAATCAATGCCAGGTAATGCTCATACTTCAAACACAGCACCAAACTGGACATCAAGCTCGTGGTTAAGTCCGTCAAAGCCATCAACAGGCCATCGTTCAACTAAAACACAAAAGTGACGCGTGACGGCAGTAACAAATGACATACACATAGCTGGAATCTGGAACGTAAAACAACGGGGAGGACAAACAAAATCAACAGAAATGACAAGTGATTAAATCATCACTCTCGAAAGCGCTGAAACCATAAGAATATTTCGCTCAACTCAACCCGCTTGCACTTAACTACAAAAACGAAAGTATCATGGGAACGATGACAACTTGTATCCATTAAGAAACTGCAACAGTATTACATCGAACCTGTTCTGTTAATTCCGCCAATATAACAAGTCGTTCCACCGCAATGTCAATGAAAATCACGTCCTGATAGATGAAATGGCAGCTGGAAACCGTTGAACAATTCGACAAATTCCATGCAGACATCTTAAACATGATATTCGAAAAATATGCCGATCAATTTTGCGATGATTATTGCCTTGAACGACACGGCGTAATGAATCATAGTGACCAAGTATTCGGCGCTGGCCACCAATTGACCAACGTCGTTGATCAACGACTGATATTCCGCGGAGGCTACATGCTGTTTGTTTAGCCCTTCCTAAAAGAAAACGCATAATGCTTGAGTGTACACGCGCAATAAATATCACGTTATATTCAGAAGCAGTCGAATTAAAGACACAATCGACCGAGAATAGTGTCTGTCAGAACCTAGTTTGTCGAAGTGAAGGGGAGTTGCAAACACATAAGGGGCAGTAAGAAATTAAAAAGAAATATTGAAGAAACTGGAAAAACACGTGGATCCTATAATATAAATCTGTTAGAATATGTGATGAGCGACTACTTACTAGTGCTATCAATCTTTATAAGACTGCCCTGAGGCTTAATTTTGAATCAACATCTGGAAGTTGACGGTTTTCAAAACCTGTTGGTCTTGGCTGGGTCAGCAGTCTTCTCTCTAATTAAAAGTCTGATGTACCGGATCGGCTAACATATAGTCTAAACAGGGAGAATCCCACACTGGAGAAAAACCTGTCGAATCGCGCGGGTGATCTTGCTATATTCCCTTCTGTCATATTGATTTCCAATGTGCACTTGAAAAGTTTGATGCAG